TTACTATTCGAGCTAGTATTATCAAGTAAGTACTATTAGTGTGAGTCCTATTGGAAGGCGTCTGACACCAGCATTGTTCAACGGCGTTACTATAGTTGTATTTGCGATTACAAAGTTTCTACTACAACGCGTATTCGTTGGCATTACAAAAGTTGCAACGAGTGTTAGTTGACATCACGAAATAAATATTTGTCGTTTATGTTTCAGTCTGTGAAACTCCATATTAATACATTGTGTAGCCTTCTTATGTGTTAGCAAATACTAATCACTAAAGTGGATATATAGTATCTTAATAGTATCTTAATAATATATAGTATCTATCTATCTATCTATCTATCTATCTATCTATCTATCTATCTATATATTTTTGGTTGGATAGATGTGAGTTTGTGACCCTGAGTTTCACGCTTTAGCGATCCTATATATATATATATATATTATATTTAGTATCTTAATAGTATATTAATTAATATTAAATTCCTGTGCATTGTTATATGTCTTATTTTGGAACCAATGCATGCATGTGTTCTTTTAATACAGTGGTACTCAATCGAGCTACATATGGACCCTGGTGATGTCCATGTAACATTACTGGGGGTCTACACACACACACACACACACACACACACACACACACACACACACACACACACACACACAAACACACAAACACAAACAGCAAATTGTGAATCCACGGTAAGATTTTAGTGGTCCGGTTATTACAATTCAGAATTGGAATTTCTTCAGTAATCCACGAAATCTTAAAATACGAAGAATAGAAAAACAACTCTAAAACTAGCAGAAAACGATATCAAGCGATGTAAGTTAGAATCCCTTTTGATCTACCGGATGTTTTCATTGTAAAAGTTGAATAAAAACTGAGAAGGAAAGATTATATCGATGAAGGAAAATTATATAAAGAATATTATTCATTATATAAATTAATTTGATATATTATTAATAAATAATAAAATTAATTTTTTGATATTAATAGAATAAAATAAAATATTAATATAAAGTAATTAATATAGTAATTGACACGACCTTATGAAAAGGGTGATCGTCCATTATCATTGACATCGATGGAGCCGAATTTTCTTTAATTTATTAATTACTTACATATTTTAAAATGGTTTATTATGAGTTATTTTACTAATGTACGTAAATGTTCCATAGAATTTTTATTGTTAAATACAAGTTTATTTTCATAAAATAGTTTTACTTCAAAATAAAGCATATCATTTACTATTTCTATAATAAATTCCTAAACTTATCTATTAGTAAAAAAATAAAATAAGCTTTTTTTTTTCATTTAATAGTTATGGAGGCCCAGAAAAAAAAAATTAAGAGTAAAAGTGATTTAAAAAAAACGGTTGAAAATTACATGATTTAATGCAATCAAGTTATATTATCTATACTTTTATATTTAAATAAAATGAAACACGTATTAAGTGTGTTGCCATTTTGTTAATCGTCAGTGTAGAATCAATTACATTTACCGCACTTAGAGTAAAACTTGTTTTGCATATAGTTATATCGAGTTAATAAGCAAAACCTGACCAATAAAAATTGATTCGTCAAAGTAGTTTCATAGTAAGGCCAAGGGATGTCATAGGGAGGTAATGAGTTGTCAATAATATCAGATATGGTAACTCCTTTCCAACCATTGAAGCAGTAAATATCCGAAGCTAATAACCGATGCTATTTTCAAACACGAACTATTTTGAATACATATTAATGCCTCGATTGTTCTGTATTTTTCTTTTCTTTCATGAATACCAACAAAGCTAATATGAAAGATTCTCATTCATAAGAACATTTCTGAGCGATTATTTGCTCAGTGGTCGTTATCAAGAGCGACAATATTAACTTCGGTGAAATATTTGCTTCTTTCAACATGAAAGCGATAAAAGATGAAGAGCGTGATAAATGTCATCTGGAATGTTGACCATGTGGAAGCATTGGCAGAAATATTTACACATTTTGGATAAGCTTTGTTGAGGAAAGTCGAATTGGCAAACCGAGGTCGTATTCCGGTCTAGTCTGGCTCGATAACAAGGTTGGTAAATAGATACGACCAAAGGAAATTAGATATATAGGAACAAGAATATATATATATATAAAAGAATGGACATCTAACAGCGACAGTTTGTTTCATGCTTAAACGCAATCTTCAGGCTATGAGTGTTTTCCCCAGCGCATGGTTTGGAGATTGCGTTCAAGTATGAAACAAACTGTCATCACTGAGTGTTGATCACAATATAAACTTTTATATTTACATATATTTACTGGTACTGAACTGTTTAACCCATAAATATATTATATGATATATATATATATATATATTAAATATATCATATCATATCATATATATATATATATATATATATATATATATGTTAAGAAATGGACAAGGTCCGACAATTTATTGATTAAAGACATTTTTATGTTTAACGTTGTTATTTATAGATACAAGTATTTAAGCAAATGCTCTGTTTATGATAAACAGTATTAAATAACATTTACCGGCCTGAATGTCCGAGAAATTTTCATAGAATGTACGAGATTCATGGAAGATTGAAGTTTATAAACAGTAAATTCGACCTTGTCTACCGTAAGGTTCTTTGTGGCCGAGACGGTTAAGGCACGTCAGCGTATATGACGGTTCCGTATAGGATGCAGGTTCGAATCCTGTCATGAAAATTTCTCGGACATTCAGGCCGGTAAATGTTATTTAATACTGTTTATCATAAACAGAGCATTTGCTTAAATACTTGTATCTATAAATAACAACGTTAAACATAAAAATGTCTTTAATAAATATATATATATATATATATATATATGATGAAAGATAAGTCACATGTGTTTCTAAAATATTTAATAGGCCTGTTAATGAAATTCGAGTAATAAAAATATATATATAATGAAAAATAGATCCTGACTATATATATATATATATTGTCCTCCACAGACAGACTGTTTCGCAGTTCATCGGAGACGCTAAGATTTAGGATATCAACGCCCGATAGGAAGGCGAAATTTTGTGTATTCGCGCTTTTCTCCCTACAGTGCTCGACCAAATTTATTATTTTTCCGCAGCTAACAGACAGTTCCACAGCTCATCAGTGTGGCTAGACATTCGTTCACATCAAGCCGGGACCGAAACCCGACCGAATTGGTATCAGTTTGAGATTCTAACCCGTAGTCTATCGACGTTCGGTAGGGAGAAAAGGCGAATGTTGCGTATTTATTCTTCATTAACACACAAGTGACCCAGAGAACTCAATCTAGAGAACTCAATATATATATATATATATATATATATATATATATATATATGTAGAGAGAGAGAGAGAGAGAGAGAGAGAGAGAGAGAGAGAGAGAGAGACAGAGAGGGTATACATGTTTCAGTTTTTAGATCGAAAAGCCCTATTAAAGAAAAAAAGTGTGCCTCTCGAGAAGAACCGAACCTGTATCCGATAGGAATCATGATGGAAAAGGGGAAGCACATTTTTTAGTGGGACTTAATGATTAGATATACAAAGAGATTCAAGTTCGACTCCTGTCGGAAGGTAGATTCCCTTTATTAAGATTTCTCGAATACGCAAGCCGAGAGGTGTACACACTGTTGAAAGTAAAAAAAAATTAGACCGTCTGTTTCAAATACGATTAACTGCTATAATGACGTGTAACGCAATATATATATATATATATATATATATATATTGATAACCAACATATTTTCTTTAGTTGACATATTTTTCAGTGTCTTCTGCAGTCTTCTTTGGTGCTTGTTGCCGAATAATTTTTAAACTGGGTTAAGTTTCAAGCCCAATCGGCGATAATGGTAATCCTTTTTTCATTTTTCTTTCTTTCTCCAATCAGATGACGGCAACTGGATGTAGTGACACATGTTTCATTGAATGTAACGGAAAGGATAATTTTATAATGTTTTTTTTCCTCATTTTCTAGTTTTCTTTTATGAGGCCTAAGCTACTATACAAACTGTTCATAGTAATTATTATCCCAAGTGCTTTCGGCAAACTCATTAGCCATTCTCAAGGATTTCGTTATTATCATATTTTTTCTTATTCTTGTGTTTGTATTTCAAGTTGTTTTTTATAGGAATCTTGATAGCTCAGGAGCGAACTCAGCAGTAATGCTTGTCATTTACTTAGCTTAGTTTGGCACAACGCGGCAAGTTTTGAGCGCTCACTATGAATCAATCTCATTAAGAAGTAATCATGATCCTTTACACGTCTGGCACAAGAATTCAGTTGGAATTGCTATAAACTTTTGTTCCAAACATCTTTTTAGGAGTCGGTTCCACAGAGCAGTGGTTCCCGAGAAGAAGCTGTTCGAGTGGAACTTATTTCTCACCGATGTAATACGGAGAGAATGATAATATAAGGAGCATCGCAGGTCCTAGTCTTGGCGGAACCAAGGAATGTAGTTTGAGTAATTTTCATGGAAGTAGCGATAGCGCAGCGAGAGGCTCGCGACATCCCGCCCGTTAGAGAGAGAGAGGTTGGAAGGTGGAAAATTATTCGTCACCCCAAAAGAACTCGGAGACGCTTTTGAACTCTGTCGAGACTGTGAGGATTGGGCAGCTCCTGGTTAAATATGGCAACTTTACTCCATTTTCGGTCTGATCTGGCTGTTTAGAGTTGGATCGTATGTGAAAGTTCCTCTTGAGGTTAGTGGTGTTTAAAGGTCCAGTGGCACTTAAGGCACGGAGCCTACCCGAGGAGACATCACTTCATTGTGACTGGCGGTAGTTCGGGGTTCCATCGTCGATATTAACATACTGAAATAGATAGATAGATAGATAGAGAGAGAGATAGATAGATAGATATGAACATATTGTAATAGGTAGATTTTCTGGTCTTGTACAGCACTAAGTTAAGCTTAGCAAATATCAATGATTATTACAGAGTGAAGACAGACTGGACATCGAAATAAGAAAGAATACCGAAAACACCTAGGGAAAAATCACATTAAGAGAGATGAAAAAGATTATAGATAGACGCCCAATAGGAAAAGAGAGAATAAAGAGAATAGCTAGTAATGAGAAAAAACGAGATTTGGACGAGAACTGAAAAGAGAAAGACCATTGACAGAGGAAATAAAAATGGTGAGATAAAAACAGAGAGGAAAAGTAAGGGAGCGAGAATGTGAACAATGGAGAGAAGACGCAGGCTATTATGCTGAAGACGCCATAGAACTCAAATGATAAAGCGTAAGAAACGAGCATCCAGAATTATTAGTTCTGTTATTAAGCTGATATTATTAGTGATGAGATCAGTAATTTTAACTTTAATGCATCCACCGGTGCCTTCAACTGCTCCGCAACCACCATCTATTCCACCCGCAGTTTCCAAGTTTACAACTATAATAATTCTGCGACTGGTAGCAACTCTTGATCCCATTCTCAAGAGAGGTCGTTTTCCTCTTTACTTTTTGCTATCCTTCAAACTTCGTTCCGACTCTTCCCCAACTGCGTGCCGAAAATATCTTTGATCGACTAAATCTGCCATGATGAGCAATGTCATCTCGCGACCGGTTTGCCCGGTGACAGCGGGTGTAGCTGCGTATACAAGAATGAGTGTTGCGCGAGAACTGACGAAAGGATTGACCGTTTCAGAAGGAGAGCGATTGAGATAGATAGATAGATAGATAGATAGATAGATAGATAGATAGATAGATAGATAGATAGATAAATAGAGAGAGAGAGAGAGAGAATGATGGAGAGAAAGAAGTTTATTTAGAGAGGTCAAACAGCGAAAAGACATAAAAACGGAGCTCACGCGGACACACACTCAAACACACACACACGCACACGGATGAGAGAGAGAGAGAGAGAGAAAGAGAGAGAGGGAGAGAGAGAGAAATAGATTTATTTAGAGAAAATTAACCAAGGTAAAAGTGAAACAAAAAACAGCACAGCCACACACACACATATACACACGCACACACACACACACACACCAAAGGAGAGAGGATAGGAGAGAGAGAGAGAGAGAGAGAGAGAGAGAGAAAGAGAGAGAGAGAGAGACGGATGAAGAAATGAATAAGATTAGTTTAGAGAGAATAACCTAACCAACAGAGACGCATAAAAAGATAGAAATACCCCTCATAGCACACACACACACACACACACGTGCGCGGAAGCACGCAAACACACATTCACATACACGCCCCCCCCCCAGAAGCGATAGTGTTAGAGAAACGAGGAGAAGAGGGGCGAAGTGAAAGGGAGAGAGAAGAAAAGGAGAGAGAGAATGAGGAGGGGAGAAGCGAGAGTGAGGGAGAAGGAAGGGAGAGAGATAAAGGGAAAGAAGCGAGAGTGAGAGAGAGGGAAAGGAGAGAGATAGAGGGGGAGAAGCGTGAGTGAGAGAGAAGCAATGGAGAGATAGAGAAAGTGTGTGTGACAGAGAGGACAAGAATTAAGTAACAAATAGAAAAGAGTGTAGGGGAAAGAGAGAAAGGGTCAGCCGTCTACGCGTAGCCGACACTCCAACGATTAATCAAAGCATTTCATGTGAGAAACCACGATTCAGAACCTCCGCTAATTGATGGGTAGGGGTCTGGTCAGCCGGAATGATCAATTGTGTGCAGTATCCAGGCATAAAATGACACAACAATACGACCACATTTCAGTGCGACTGATTTATTCTGGAGTGCTGTTGAAAAGAGACAACGGAGGCTTCCATCAATGACTTGTTCGGGAATGGTGGTCGGGAGACACTCAAATCCTCCCCCCGCCAGCTTGTTAAACAGTATGCACACACAGTCAGGAACACAACCGCCACCGCTAACTGCATAATAATAATAATAATAATAATAATAATAATAAGAAGAAGAAGAAGAAGAAGAAGAAGAAGAAAAAAGAGGTGGAGGAGAAAGGGGGTTTGGGTGTCTTTCTTCATTTGTGAAAAGTCAATATGTTTACGCATCGCTGAAGACTAGATTTACAGACCTAGGCAATATTAACAGTGGTAGTAGCTGCCCGGGGCTTGAATCAAGCGGGCATATATATCAATTATACTCGCTTGTATGGCAACTTATTGACTTGGAAGGAACTTTTGCTTGCACAGTCTCACCACTCACACCTCATCCAGGCATTTACCGTTGCTCAACAAAATGCTCTTCGCGTTGCGACGAAATCGTTTAAAGAGAACAAAAACGATTCGCTTTGAATCCCTAAAAAGGCTTCCATTTACGGAGATGGATTGGATGCGGGTAACTTAAGGACTTTATTGTGCTTTCAATCACATTCATATATTAGCATTGCTATCGTGATTTGTGTTTAAGAGGCTGAGAATATATATATATATATATATATATATATATATATATATATATATTTATAATATCGAGAGAGAGTGAGGGGGTGTGTAAACCTCGTTTTTATTTGGGTATTTCATTAAAGAAATATAAAACTATACATATGTGCTTGTATTTTTGTATGTTCAAAGTCGTGCCTTATATACATATTTGTTTAATTTGGTTTATGTAAACTTGCATAACCATATGTGACCATATATATGCATAGATATGTTTATAAGTGTAAAGCTATGAGGAAATCTTTAAATAGGCTAATTTGTGAGTGTATACGGAAAATGTATACAGATCTATGGTTTTAGTCTTATGTAATTGTTGATGCTAAACTCTTACCACCTTATTTACTTATTGCACTGTGAAAGCAATTAATGGATTTTTTTTCTATCCGGTAATATTTCTTCTTCTTTATTTTAGAGGATACACTTATTTCCACAGTAAATTTATTTTCAAACACTGGAATTAACACCCACCGGCATAGATTATTGGCAATCTTATCAAATTAAATGTACTTCTCAGAAGAAATGGAACAGCGAAATTACTTTTTATCTTGGCGTGACGTTACCGTTTCGGCTACGAAGGCCCTTATTGGATTCCTTATTAATATTGATTATTTGATTAGTTTTTTTTATTTTTTATAGTGAGGTTCACTCTGTACAAGGCCCGGGAGCCACTCATTGTAGAGGGTTACAGAATAAGGAGCACAGTTTATGCGGATAAGTGGGGAAGATAAACGGTTAACTTTAGATTTGAACAGGTTAGGATTGTCATGATCAGAAAGCATCCTCTTTGGAGTCGGTTCCACAGAGCAGTGGTTCGTGGGAACTTAATTCTCATCAATAGAATGCGGAAGATCGTTCGCTACAATATGTGCATAGCAGTGCGGTTCCTCGTCGAGAAGGTTAGAACAAAGTAATATAGTTTGTCTATGCACTTTCTATGGAAGTAATA